TAATAATAGTGTAAAAGAATGTCCTGTGATTCCATTACAGTCTTCAAAAGGAGCTATTAATTGATATGGCAAGAAATATTTAATATTAAATAGTTGCAAGAAGGGACTGGAGTTGGACTGAAATAATTTACCAGGAGAACCATATATGTAACTTTTAAAAGTTAATTGGTGAAAATTATCTCTTTCTCTCCTGCTTTTAGGGAAATGTGCCAAGAAAGCACATATGGTGATATATTTTTCAGAAGAACTGACAACTTACATTCTAGATGCATAATATTTTGTTCTTGCTTTGAGATGGTTTCAACGAAGATATAACAAAGTAATGGTAGATTCGGTATTAAACATGGATCTTTTCTTTTGACCAGGGATATATCCCTTATTTATTTCATGGTGCAAGTGAGTTGAAAGGTTTTCAAAACTGTAGGTTTGAAATTTTGTTATGTATTATTCAGCATAATTCACTAGCATGCTCAAAAAATTAACAATTTAAATAAATACCATTGCTGCAGCAGCTGAAGCCTATAGCTCTAGGACTGCCCGGGAGCAGAGGCATCTGGCTGCAGATGGTGTGGAGCTAGTTGCAGAATGGGTGTATGTAAGAGAAACAGAGGCAGCAGGAGGTATAGAAGCTTAGCTATCCAAAGCTCTGTTAGAGTTCTTGTGCTGTTCGGCATTATATCCTCTTCTGAAACATTTGTTCTGTAGGGTTTGGCATTATATCTGAATTGAACAAAGAGTAAGGTTTCCTGCATAAGAGTTAAGGTTTTGGTGAGGAAGAATTAAATACAGGGATATATTTTGGTGGCAGATCCATATTTCCATTTATGTTGAAATGTGTTCATGGGTCTTAATAATTCTTCAGTTGTATATCTTTATCAGTCTTCACATCTTTATTTTCAAAACAGACACTGTATTAAAACAGTTGAAAACTATACAGAACTACAGCAGGATTAAAAATATATCATCCACCCTTAAAATCCTGTTCCCCAGCAACTAATCAGTGTCTAAAGGTCTTATCTTAATAAATAGGGCCTTTGCCTTCCAGAGGAAGGACAGCAGGGAGAGGCCAGCCTAATCACCATCATAAGAGAGTTCCAGAGCCTGGGAGCAGTCACTGGAAAGGACATCTCTTATATACTCACCAGATATGCCTGTGAGGTGGGAAAGAGAGAGAAGGGTCTTTTCTGAAAGATTGACAATCCAGGCAGGCTCATATAAAGAGAGATGCTTCTTCAGATACCCTGGATCCAAGCTCTATAAGGCATTATGGTTCATAACAAGAACTTTGAGTTGTACCCTGTCTCAGGTTTCCAATGAAAAGAGCCTTTTGAGATGGCTCATTGCCATCTATGCACTGGTAGGAAACTAAGAGTCAAGAAACAAGACAACAAAATTTAAATGATGTGGAACTCTTTTGATTGTGTGTATATTGGCTTAAACACACTCTATTTACAAACTAACTTTTAAGACATAACCCTAAAAGTCAGCTTACAAATCAAGAATATGGTGAGAGAAATCTGCCTGAATCATCACTCCCCCATAACTTATCACCCCAAGTGTAGTCTCAGATTCCCTAAGATAAATGATCACTAGGAACAATCTGCGGAAATATCCTTTCACCCTTGAAGTGCTTTTTGGCATGCTCACAATCCTCCACCAATGAAGAAACAAACAAACAAACAAAAAAAAACTGGACCCCACTAAGTAAAAAGCCCACCTTGGCTCCTTCAATGATTAGACTGCTTGAATGGTATGAGGCATTCTGCCCTCCCAGTATACTCTCATATGTGATTTGTGGAAAGGAATGTACTTGCTTACTTCTCTTGTACTTCCAAAAGTTTCACCTTATAAAAAGTATCCTCCCTTTTGTCCTATTGCAATCTCTGAGGTCCAAAGAAAATGCTCTCAGTTACAGTGGTGCCTCGCTTAACGAGTGCACCGTACAACGAAGAATCCGTATAGCGATCCCTTTTTGGGAAAAACTGGACGCCACTAAGTAAAAAGCCCACCTTGGCTCCTTCAATGATTAGACTGCTTGAATGGTATGAGGCATTCTGCCCTCCCAGTATACTCTCATATGTGATTTGTGGAAAGGAATGTACTTGCTTACTTCTCTTGTACTTCCAAAAGTTTCACCTTATAAAAAGTATCCTCCCTTTTGTCCTATTGCAATCTCTGAGGTCCAAAGAAAATGCTCTCAGTTATTTCTGTACATAGGTTTGAGTGGCTGGTGCCTAGATACTCTTGCCTCACTTACTGACCTGTAGAAGTTCACAAATAAATGTGCATTGTATGTAGTTATTATTGAATTTGTATTTTAGTTTTAATACCATGTTTCCCCTAAAATAAGACCTAACTTCAAAATAAGCCCTAGTATGATTTTTCAGGATGCTTCTAATATAAGCCCTACCCCCAAAATAAGTCTTAGTTAAGTGAAATCCTGCCCTTCATCATTGTGCAGCAACCAGAAGATGACATGACTGTATCTGAATAAATGTTGATTGTTGTACGATGAAAAAACTAAAACATCCCCTGAAAATAAGCCCAAATGCATTTTTGGAGCAAAAATTAATATGAGACCCTGTCTTATTTTCAGGGAAACTGGGTATTAAATAAAAAATTAATTAAAATATTTTAAAAATGTGTGTAAGAAGAAGCATTGTGAGCTTGATAAATCTGTTTAGTCACCATGAATATGGTACTTGCCTTCTTCCATACATTAGATGGTACTTCGTAGCTAACCCATACAAATTTGAGTCCTTTATTACAATTATGTTTGCCTCAATGATTCTTCGCTCTCAAGTTACAAGGCTGTACAAATGTAACTGTTTTACTGTTTCATAAAATGGAAGATGATTTCAGTGAACCATAGACAGTTAGGCTTTAGGGGTAAAATTATACAGGGAACATGTTTCTTACATGCTGCTTGGGGATAAACATGTTTTAAATCAACTCATTGCTCAGAGTTATATTCTTGTTCAGCATTACTGTAGAGAATGATATTCTAAAATACTGATCCTGCTAATACTGTGAAGCTTTTGTAATCTAATTTATATTAGATATATAATCTAATTTATACTGGAGATTTAAAAGGGTTATCTCTTTTTAATCTCCAGTATTGAACATGAAAATACATGCATAGAAATACATGGAAGATAATAGGTTGTTGTCATACATAAGTACTACCAGCTAACATGTTCCAGTGTCCCTCCCCACCCCCTGGGAATTTAGATACGGAAGCCTTCTCCAAACGTTCAAATTTCAAAGGAGTTAGTCTCTGCAAGCATGAAATAAATAATTAAAACAAGAGACAGAAATGTCATAGCACCTTAATCTGAGAACCCAAATTAAACTATATCGGTTAGTCTTTAAGGTGCCACAACATATCTGTCTCTTGTTTTTTATTTTTTATTTTTTTTGTCTGATACGTTTCCCTAAACGGATGCCCTTTTAGATTGTTTAGGCTTCTAATCTTAACAGTATCAGCTGACACGATCAATAATACTGTAATGATATGTAGTGCAAAGCATCTGGAGAACAATATGTTGGAAGAAACAGAGGTAGATTTAGTAGTCTAGGCTTCAGAAGTTTCGGTTGGTGTCTTTAGATACTTGAAATGTTGTTGATTGTAGTAGGCAGACCAGCATCCTGCACATGTTTTGTTCCATAACTCCCAGGAATTGGCTGTGATGGTTATGGCTGACAGGAGTTGTACTCTACAAACATGCAGAAAGCAATAGTTTGACTACTACTGGGATTTCACTTCTGTTTGGTGCATTTTGCATCAGAAACACAAACATTGCCTAGGTGCAAGAGGCAGGCTACACAGGCATTTAGCCTGCTATTTGGTCTGGTGGAGGGAATGAGCTGATTTGCTCGAAAAGATGGTGACTAGATGACATATTTGCTGTAGCAAGCTCATCCTCAGAGTGGTTGTACCTGCACCTTTCAGGTTCCTATCAAGGCCTTCTATTTTTATTTATTTATTTTTGGTACGGTTAGACAGGAGACAGCAATGGGGTGAATTTTTATTTGCTTTTCTCTTCTGGTTGAGAGCCAGTTGAGAAAAACAAACCAGAAATTTAGCATGATCAAGATTCCAGTGAAAGATTCCTTGAAACATGGTCTTCCTGAAATGTTAAACAGGCTCTCTATTTTGATTTCGGGAAACACTCCTGTGAATTTAGATCACTATTGTGACTGAAACAGACTTCTTACTTAAGTTTACAATAATTATTTCTTAAATGTACCTTGTCTTCCATTTTGAAAACATAAACTCAGTCTTCCTCTCCCACTGAGTGAAGGCAGGCTAGATTTCTTTTTCTCTCAAGAACACCTTTGACCTGTCCCTTCTCTGCTCAGTGAATGAAGATTGAATAAAGATCTGCTGTCAGTGTGGCTCATACACAGGACGTGCAGTCACAAAGGAAGATTGTTTTAGGAGAACTGCTTTTTGAAAATGATTTGAAAGCATTTCTAAGCAAAACAGAGCCATTCTTGTCCTTCTGATTATCTCTTATATATGGAATGGTGCTTACCCCTAATCTTTGGGCGCACAATTCATACTGCAAAAGTAGGTGAAATCTTGTATAACTTGCTGCATGTCTAGAGAAACATTTATTGGGAGAAGTAAGAGAAGCTTTATTCATCTTTCAATTAGTTTTTAATAAATGTAACTGAAATATATACATATTTCAGAAAAGTAAATTTTGCTTTAAAATGTATGTAAATACAAAAGGAATCTATATGATTAATATATATATATCTTTCTATTGTAGATCATTACTAAATATGTATATAAATTACTGGAAGAAGAATGCCATTTGAAAAAAGTGTATGTCCCGGTGAGTTAAATATGCACAGATGTCTCCTGCTGCCAACATCTTACCAGTAAAAAGGATGAAGTCGAGGAATTAGAATTTTTATGTCATAGTTCTTTGTGTTTCTCAGAGATCGTACATGTCATTAATTTTTGGAGGGTATTCATGTTAGTTTATTGCAGCACAACAACAAAAAGCCTTGTGAAACTTTAAAGACTACAACATTATTTGGCATAAACTTTGGATTTAGATCGAGTGTGTCAGATGCATCTGGTGAAGTGGGCTGCAATTCACGAACACTAATGCGAAATAAAACCTGTTTGTGTTTCAGGTGCCACAAAAGTCTTTGTTATACATTTCTAACATGTTAGAGATAACTAATAATGGCTGGAATTCACTAGTACTCACATTGATTCAATGGAATTTAATGTTGACTCACCAAATCCTCAGTGATTTAGTGGGCTTGTTCGAGTTGTGACTTATTGCTGGATTGCAGCCAGTGGAATATTTAAAATAGTTACTATAATGGATAGGCTGAAGAAGTCTAAGGGATTTTGATGTGTTGTTCAAATGAAGGAACTAGGATTGAAACCTTGCTCGTTGTATGAAGCTCACTGTATGTCAATGGTTCAACTGTCCTGTCAGCCTAATCTCCGTTACAAACTTTTTGTGATACCAGAAATGTCTGGCTTCCTTTACAAACTTAAATAACACCTGAACGGGGTAGAGGCAACTCAGTGCATGGGATGGGCTGTACAGTATTTATTTATTTATTTATTGGACTTCGATGGGCTGTACAGTGGGGTCTTGACTTGAGAAATTAATCCGTATTGGAAGGCAGTTCTCAAGTCAAAATGTTCTCAAGTCAAATCTGAATTTCCCATAGGAATGCATTGAAAACCATTTGATCCGTATCTGCTCTTTTCCGTCCATAGAAACTAATGGGAAGCTGCTATTCTGCCTTCGACCACTAGAGGGGGTATTTTGTTTCTTTTTTTTCTTAGGTCAAGAAAGGTTCAGGGAAGGCAGGGAAAATACAGTCCAGGCAGGACAGTACCAGGCAGTCCAAAGACTGTCTCCCAATCCACTCTCTAAACGCTGGGAGGAGTGAGGAAGCAGACAGGCACCCTTTTCACTGGCCAACAGTTAGCTGAAAGTTCACATTTTGCACTTTCTCTGCCTCCCACGTTATTTTTTTTCAGTTCTTAACTCAAATCTAAGTACTTAAATCAAGTCAATATTTTCCTATGAGAGTGGTTCTTAAGTCAAAATGTTCTTAACTCAAGCTGTTCTTAAGTCAAGACCCCACTGTAATAGATGGCTTTTGGGATTCACAGAGGAATTTAGAATCCATTCTGCATGTAGAGAGACATATTGGATACAGCATCTCGCCATCAGTATGGATCACCAACGGAACAATGTAATGTTGTTGTTTAGTTATTAAGTCTTGTCCAACTCTTTGTGACCCCATTGACCAGAGTACGGGAGGCCCTCCTGTCTTCCACTGCCTCCTGGAGTTGAGTCAATTTCATGCTGGTAGCTTCGGTGACACTGTCCAACCATCTCATCCTCTGTCGTCCCCTTTTCCTCTTGTCTTCACACTTTCCCAACATCACGGTCTTTTCCAGGGAGTCTTCTCTTCTCATGAGATGGCCAAAGTATTGGAGCCTCCGCTTCAGGATTTGTCCTTCCAGTGAGCACTTCAGAACGGATAGGTTTGATCTCCTTGCAGTCCAGGAGACTCTCAAGAGTCTCCTCCAGCACCGCAATTCAAAAGCATAAATTCTTCAGCGGTCAGCCTTCTTTATGGTACAGCTCTCACTTCCATGCATCGCTACTGGAAAAACCATAGCTTTGACTATGCGGACCTTTGTCGGCAAGGTGATGTCTTTGCTTCTTCAGCGTGGCCTCTGTGAATGCACGCAAAAGGGTTAAATTAGTGCCTGCGCTGGACTTCTCGGAATCTTCTCGAGCTTTTAATAGAAAAGTAACAAAGTTTTAGGTTGCCTGTACTACGCATGCTCCACCCGCCAAAGCCTCAGCTCCATTTTTCCACCGAGCGGTTTGGAACCTCTCACTTCAAGTTTGTTATTTTACTGTTTTTTCGAGTGATTTTTATGGCTCTCGAACTTGGAATTTCCTCTGACTACGCTGTCTTCTGTTGCCTGCACCTTGGACTGTTTGTCTGGTCTCTCCTATTGCGTTTTCTCCACTAACTTGGTTGCCTTGGATTTTCCCGCCTCTTCACCTCATCATGCGATATTTAAAGTAGGAAGATTCCTTTCTATACCAGCTTATGTCACGCTCCGGACCCTTTAGCCAGTGCGTTTGTTCTAGGAAGCTTCCTTTTCATGACGGCCATGACCGCTGTCTTTTTGCTTAACCCAATCCTGTAAACATTGTAAAGGTTTTACTAAAGGTGCTTTAAAAGCCAGACAGCAGAGACTTAAGTATCACCTCTGGGATACTACTCTCTTTGTTGAAGCCTTCAGAAATGGAAATCACTTCCTCCACTGCAACCCCTTGATCTGAGACTCGAAATGGCTCACCTCAATCTTCCCTCAGTAAAGCCTCTGATAAACCAGCGAAAAAGTCCATTGCTGTGAAGAAATCGGCATCAAAGGCGACCACGTGTTCCTCCTCCAAGCCTGTTAAACAAACAAAAACGAAGGCTGCAGGAGGCTGCCAAGGACCATCATAAACAGTTGCCTCCGGTCTCTTGAGTGGAAGACTCCTCAAGAAACCGAGAGTCCTTCTTGGAGGCAGCACCTTCGCTTCCTCCTAGACAGGCTGAGCCATTACCACCTGAAGGCGTCTCCTCTCCAACACCAAGCCAGCTTGCATGTGCTACTGCAGATTTGGCTTCTGCCCCTCATAGCCCTGTGTCAACCGGGCGGGCATCTTTGGCTCCATCGGTGTCTTCCGTTACTTCGAGACCGAACTCTCCGCCTCGAAAGCGACCAGTCAAGACCAAACATATTTCTCCGGATCGGCATTGATCTCCTCAATGTGAGGTGGTGGTACTCCCTCGGTCATCTCGACGCCGACATAGAGAGAGATCTGACGACTCCAACCATTATGAACTGAGGCGTAAGAAACATCGGCATCGACACAGAAGAGATTACCCTTCTGACACCTCCTTGACATCAAGCGAGAGGCATAGAAGAAGGAAGAGGGTGAAATATGTATACGCTTCTTCCACCTCTTTTTCTCCATCAACATCCCCCCACAGACATCGACGTTGAAAGCAGCTCGACGTCGACAAGAGAAAGGACATCACCAGGGATACAAGAAAGCGCCTGGCTGAGTCAGCTCCTCCATTTTCGGCATCGACTGTCGGGCGATCTTCTCAGCAGACTGCTTTTTCTTCCCACGACGCTGAGAAATTTTCACACAGGAGGCTCCATCATACTTCGACCTCAGATCAAGATGACATGTTTTCAGCTGACTCCTCTGCTCCTTAGAAAGATGTCCCTCAAGAGCCATCGGTGGGAGAATTACCAGAGGGAGAGGTAGTTGAATCTGATGCTGCTGACAACCATGCTTCCATGAGGACTTTTCATCATATGCTCAGATGCTTTCAAGACTGGCAAAACCCCTCACAATAGACATTGACCAACTTGTTCCACCTACAGAGAACCTCATATTTGTGGACATAAACCAAGAAAGATCTCCACCACTTGGCCTAACATTTTATCAGCCTTAATGGACATCATTAAGGATACTTGGAACCAGCCATCCACTTCAGCCCCTATGTCTAGACGCACAGAGAATTTGTACCGCGTCCATGGGGATGACACCAATTTTCTTCTCAAACACCCTATCCCCAACTCTCTGATAGTTGAAACTAGCTGCTCAAGACCAACTGGAAAATCCCATGTAACTCCAATAAACAAGGAGGGCAGCAAATTAGAGGTACTCAGAAGGAAAATTTATTCACTTATCTCATTCCTCCTCCGTGTCACAAATTACCAGACAGCCTTGGGGGCTTACCAAAAACAGCTTTGGCTTCAGATTTTACCAGCACTTAAATTGGTTCCTGAGGACATAAGAAAAGGTTTCCTAAATACATATGAAAAAGCCCGAACCGTATCAAAACACCAGAGGTTATCTACCAGACATGCGACCGAAGTTGCATCCAAAGTCCTTATGTCAGCTGTCACCCTACGTAGACACGCATGGCTCAGGGCAGCTAACATAATGGAAGATGTTAAGACATGGGTAGAAAACTTGCCTTTTGATTCCAAGGGCCTCTTCAATGAAAAAACCGATGGAAATCTGGAAGAGCTCCACAAAATGAAGAAAACAGCCAAGTCTTACTCCATCCAACCTCAGCCTAAGTACAGTAAATACCATTGAGGCACCAGGTTCTAAAAGACACAAAATTCATACTTCGTGTTCTGTGGAACCTAGGCTTGTCAATCAATGTCAAAAAGTCACATCTCAGGCCATCTCAAATAGTAGACTACATTGGTGCCAGATTAGATGCCACCAAGGGTCGGATTTTTCTGCCCACAGAAAGAATAATGAAAATACAGAAGGCTGTCCAGAAATTTTGACCAAGGGAAGGGCACTTTGCGAAACATGCACAACATCTGTTAGGCCTCATGGCATCCACGACTCCAGCTCTAGCGCATGCCTGAAGATGAGATCCCTGCAATTTTGGTTCTTGACTCTCTTCAATTCTATGAAAGATCACCAAGGAAAGCCTCTTCGTGTATCACCAGAACTGGCTCAACAGCTTCAGTGGTGGAACTTCTCCCCTCATCTGTTGATAGGGCGCCCCTTCTGACCTCTTCAGCTCACAATACAGGTGACAACAGATGCGAGCCCAACAGGATGGGGAGCGCATTGTGGACAACACCGAGTACATGCCCTATGGTCCACTCAGGAGCGAAATCTCCACATCAGCCATCTGGAGATCATAGCAGTCCTGAAAGCATTCAAGGCTTTTCTCCCACTGACACAAGGTTGTGGTGTTCAAGTGGTTACAGACAACACCATGACCATGTATTATATCAACA